AGAAACTCGAAAGAAATGATGGAGGCAGAGTTGCAAAGACTCGAGAGTGTGAACCTTCAGGATTTCAAGAATGCAAGGTGGAATGTCGCGATCAGGTGGCGTCGGGGCCTTCTAACTGTCCTGTACTGCGCAGGAGGCCGGCTCAGGAGATGCCTTTCGAGGTTGTTGGAAGCCAACCGTCAGCACCATCAGCACGGTCAGCGCCACCAGCAGTAGCTTGGGATCAGGATGCATCAACGGAGAGTGTCAGGCAATGGAAAGAGCAGGCAAGTCTGAGATCAGCAGAGTCTGAGATCAGCAAGCCAGGTGTGAGATCGGCGGAGCCTGAGATCAAAGCAGCGGACAGGCCAGGCCCAATGACACCACCAGAAGCTTCAGCGATGCCACCTTCTCCGGTGGATGACTTGTTGATGATGCTGAAGTTCTTGTTTGAGATGTCAGAGGGTTCGGAGAGAAGCAAGTCATTGTTCACTGGCTGCAGCACTGTCAGGATACTGTTCTGAGATCAGCAGATGTTTTTTGGTTTGGGTCCAGTCTGAGATCAGCCAAGTCTGAGATCAGCAGAGGTGTAGTTTGAGCAGATGTTTTGTTTTGTTTGGGTGGTTGGAGGAATGGTTTCGTCTCTGGCTGGACTTCGTCGAGACGCACGGACGCCAACAGGATCGCATACATCAGATCCTTTTGTGGGCAACTTCATGGGACAAGAAACAGGCTTACCTTGGGGCCAAAAAGCAGAAGGTGCAGCCCTGAGTAGTCTGAGATCAGCAGAGTCTGAGATCAGCAAGCCAAGGGCCAAGTCTGAGATCAGCAGAGTCTGAGATCAGCAAGCCAAGGGCCAAGTCTGAGATCAGCAGAGTCTGAGATCAGCATGTAGAGCCTCTTTCTGTCCAGAGTTGGAGATCAGCATTGTCTGAGATCCACAGTTGGAGATCAGCGTGTAGAGCTTCTTTCTCTGACATGCGCCCGTAGCTTTGATACCACCATACTGCACCGCACCACGAAAAGGAAGGACACAGATGAAGCTGCTTGGATTGTTTTTCTTAATTCTTTGTCTGAGATCAGCTCTGTCTGAGATCAGCAGTTTTGTTTTTGTTTTATGTCTTTGAGGTCACTGATGATGGAGCAGATGGCTGTTTGTTTCTTAATGCTTTGTCTGAGATCAGCTTTGTCTGAGATCAGCAGTCCTATCTATGTTTACGTCTTTGAGTTCACTGATGATGGAGCAGCCATTGGCTCCCACCACCCGTGTCATTTTTCATCCCCTGTTGCCAAGATGATCTCGTCACCTGGACTTCGAGTTCCCGAACCTCTGACCCATTTGATAGCCAAGGCGCTGGATCTCTGGTGTCTCGGATTTGCCACAATTTGCCCCAATCCTGCGTCCTTTGTGGCATTCTTTCGTTGCCGATTTCGGTGCTGCCAAGCAAGCTCGGAGGCTTTCAAGCATCGAAAGAGACCTTGTAATCCTCGAGCCTCACCTTGCACAAGCCACTGCCGGTATTGAAGTGCTGCCTCATCTCTGGCTTGTAGATGCGCTTCAGTTGTCTGATGCTGGATGGTGTGCATCAGAAGTTCAGCCGATCTGGTGTGCCTGTACTGCTTCCAATGGTACATGATGTCGAGGAATGTATGTGCAGTTGGAGGGCCCACCCATTGACGTGGTGCATCCTGGCAAGCCTCGGATTGGCGCTTCATGTCCTTCGCCAAAGTGGTCGAGCAGGAGGCTTGGCCAGCGGCTTGTGGGCTGCTTCCACCAGTATCCCCTGCCCTGTGGCTGCCGCGGGTGATCTTGCAGTAGGTATTGTTCAGTGATGGATACCCAGTCTGCCAGAGATTGCGCCTCAGTGTTAGCTTCAGTGTCGTACAGCTGTAGGGCGGTTGCCTGCGATGTGTAGGTACTCCAGCGTCGGAAGTCGTCAGGCCAGAGTCACCAGTGCATGGAGTCTCCAAGGCGCAGCCCATTGAGTTTGAACCGACATGCATCCAGCAAGTTGGCTGCGTACCAAGGCGTAGTCAAGCACCGAGCCTGAAAGAAGTGTTGCGGTGGGGCAATGATTTGCCAGTTGAATTTGGGTTCCAAGATGGTTTCTTCAAAGGAGCTGGGTGGCGTGTTCCAGTCAACTACCAGAAGGAACTGGTATCTGGTCTCTTGGAGCAATGCTAACAGCTTGGCCAAGAGTTGGCTGTTGATAGGCCCTTCTAAAGTGTCGGAGTGCTTGAAGTAGGCTGCCACTATAGGAGTAGCGGGAGATCTCGCTTTTGCCAGAGACAGGCCACATAGCCACATCCTTCCACGCTGTAGCTGTCGACAAAGGTGAGACCTTCAGGCAGCATCAGCCAGGATCAGGATGCCTCCATGCGTCCCTTCATTGGTGGGATTTGCTGCTGGTAGTGAAGTACTGGCAGTGTTGTTGTTGGTCCAGGTGGGTTTCGACAAAAACGTAGAGCTCACTATCTCTTGCCCAGTACCATTCGATGACCCGCGTACCCATACTGGCGCATGGTGTCCTGGGTATCAGGCAATCTCACGAGGTGTCCTGAAGTGAGAGGTTTGAATGGCCCAGAGCTGGATGATGTCGCCTGCCATCTGTTGTGTCAGGTTCTGGATCACTGTCGGTGTTTGCCCATCATCAATGAGCCAGAGCAGATCTTGGTACATCGAAAATGGCGTAGTAGTGGCCCGATAAGTGGTTGTGTCCTCGGTGGCGTATCAGTGCCACTGGTACATATTCTTCTTTCCGCTGACTGAAACCATCAAACAAGTGGCACTGTGAAGGTGCCGTGAGGATTGAGCGCCCGGTGATGCTTGGTAACTTGCCCTTCCATCTCAGTGTCTCTTTTGATGTGACAGACCAGGGCGCGCTTCTCATCCATGAGGTACTGGCCCAGCACCATGCGTTGATGAGCTCCTGGAAGCTAACTTCATCCTGTAGGCGATCAGGATAGTCGATGTGGATGGGCATTTGGATGTGGTCCTTGAGGAAGCCCCCTGGTTAGATCTCAGCATGTGGCTAGCCAAAGGGTGGGTGTTGACGAAGTGACTTGCATCACCCTATTGAGGTCGTGCTGCCAGAGAGTCTGCAGACCTGGTAGTTGTTGAAGGCCCACAGCTTCAACTGTTTCAAGGCTTTCCTGAACTGCCTCACGTATAGTACCCCAGGGTTGAAGATTGTGTTCTTGCAGGAAGGCACATAGCCAAGTGAATGCCCTCCATGGCGCATTGGCAAAACAGCGCTGGCTTGGGTTGCCAACGATCACGGTCAAGTTCTGCGTCAGAAGGTCTGTGGTGGTGGCACAGTCATACAGTGGCCTCTGATCCATCTCTGGGTTCTCCTGTGTTGGAGTTGTGACGGTGAGCTGGAAGTGCCCCCAATCACCGCCAGCCGAGGAGCTCTGCCATGTGCCGCGGATGCCAGTGAGCTGGGTGGTGATGAAACAAAATTGTTCACATTTGAGCTGTGGATGCTCTTGTGAGTGTTCGTTGACTGCTGTTGCATGTCCCCTCCTCCAACGGTGTCGCCCAAAGGTTGTCGCCATGTCAGGGACATTGATTCCCCAAATGCTGTATGCTGTCATGGTAGTGTTATACCCGCATGATCCTGGGGCTGATGCAGGGCTCACAATGTCTGTTTTCCGACGCTTGGTCAAGTCCTGCGTTCCGCTGCTTGGTCTCTTGAGGAGGCCGTGCAGCTGGGATTTCTGTTCAGCAGAAAGGGAGACTCCCAAATTTTCTACGAAGGTCTCCAAAGCCGCTGGAAGCGGATCGACGTCCATGGAGGGATCAAGCTCATCTGGCTTGGGGTCTTTGTTGACTGCTTGCATGTACTCCTCGGAAGTCTGCTTCAGTGTCTTTTGACCGTCGTTGAGCTTTTGTTGAAGCTCTTGCATTTCACTGAGCAGGGCCTGATACTGGGCCTTGGTGTTGTCCAACTTCTCCTGAAGCTGTGTCTTCTTGATGGACAGGTTCTTGAGTTCAGAGACTTGACTCTTGAGCTTCGTGGCAATGTCCTTTTCCGTGATCGGTTCGGGAGCTGTGAGGCGTGTGACAGCCTCCTGGACTTGGGTAGGCAGCGGTCAGATCTGGTTCAGGTGGCTTAGTTGGTCCCAAGATTCTGCAACTTATCTTGGACGTCGGCCGGAACTCCTGTCCAACAACCTTCAAGGAGATCAGAGGCTTCCTTTTGAATCTTGGTCTTCTTGAGAGGCTTGAGGCATCCCAACCCAGGTGGTGCTTCCAGCCAACTTCTGCTGTCTGGGATTTGGTCGTCCTTGTCCTTTGCCTTTCTCTGTGGCTGTCCGAAGTGTAGGCCACCAGTTACCGCATTGCCTGATGTGGTGTCTGGGCATAATTCCTGATGAGATGGTCTTCAAAGGTCTCCTTGTCCTATGTCAAGTAGGCAAGGATCTTGTTCGCTGTCTCGATCAGGCCGTGTGCCTCCTTGCCCCAATCACGTTGAGGAGTGGCAGAAGGTTGAGGTGCCGAGGTGGTAGAACACCAGGATGAGATGCCGTAGTCCTTGTTCTCCGCTATCACGGGCAAAGAAATGTCCAGTCTTTTTGAGGATCTCGAGGCTAGGCTCCAATGGCTGAACCTGCCTGTGCCCGGTTTTGTATGGGACCGGCTTGAGTCCTAAATGTCTTGAGCCAATGGATGGATGGATGGATGGATCGAGATAGAAGGATGGATCGAGATAGAAGGATGGATCGAGATAGAAGGATGGATCGAGATAGATAGATGGATCGAGATAGATAGATGGATCGAGATAGATAGATAGATAGGAGGGGAGAGAGTGTCAGAGAGAGAGAGAGAGAGAGCGCGACAGAGAGATAAACTGAAGAGATAGATAGAGACATAGAGAGACTGTTAAGTAGATGTGGCTAGATGTAAAAAGAGAGATGTGCAGAGTGTAGATAGAGATTGATGGATGGGTAGTTGGACGAATGGGTGGGTTGCCCTGGCTTCGTCTCATCCCTGCCTGGGTCATTGAAGCCACCGAGAGGCTACGTTCGACAAAGAGCTTCAGCAGCAGATGTCTGTTTCTCAGGACATGGTTGACGATCCTCAAAGATCCTTGTTTATTTGGATCAGTGGTAGTGGTCAGAGTCAGTGGCAAGTCAAGGAGGTCCCGCAATTTCATTTGGGTGGCCGTCAATTGATCCACCGTTTTTGTGGAGGAGCTTCAAGATCAACTGGCACGTGCAAGAAAGTCGATGGAGGCAAGCGTTGACAAGCAAGATTAGCATTAGAGCCGTCATAGTACGTCACAGCAAAAAGATGTCATTGGGACTCACGGATTGTGTAATATATCGTTATGCAAGGATCCATCCAACCCCGTTGTTTAGTCTTTCAAAGGCTCTTTCAAAGCCACTTGTGTTGCTTTGTGTCGTTGTCTTCGAACCCAGTGTAGTTCGGCTAGTTGAAATCGATGCTATCCGCTTCGCCGTATTTGCTCCCAGTGGTGCGTGTAGTGTAGTGTTTGCTTTGCCAGGATAGCTTGGCCACCGGGGGTGAAACCCTCCAGGCGACTGTGTGACCAACGATGATTTACACATGAACCCCAGCCAGAATCTGCTAGGCAGCTTTTGGTGAAAGGGACCTTCTGCAAGTCGAGCTAAGAAAATTGGGGGACGAAGCTGCCTCAACCTCAGCATGTTTGCGGATGTGAGTGCATCAATTTTGACTTTAGTTATATATTCAACGGGCGGCTTTGCCCCATAAATTGGAATGGATTTCATGCTTCTGGTGGTGCTTTCTTGCACAGGCCAGACATTCCTGTCCCAGTTCTTGGGCTAGGAACAAGAAGCTACTACTCTAGGAACAAGAAGCTACTAGTAGAATTCAAAGGCTTTCAACAAGAGTACAAAATAGATTCAGGAAGTGCGACGAGACAACACCTGCGGCGATAGCAGCATGCGCATGATCTGCACCATGCAAGGCTTATGTGCTTAGGCAGTCCTTCTTGGCATTTTCCTTGCGACAACACTATTTAAACGATTTGCTTTGCTTAGCTTGTCTAGGACCTGGGAGACTGCAGAACCTCTCAAACTCATGCTGTCTGCAATGCGGCTTCCAGTGACCTCTAAGTTGGTTCAGCATGAAGGCATACAAATTGGAAGAAAGGAAGAAAGGAATAACACATGAAAAAAGGCGAGCGAGCGAGCAAGCAAGCTCGCCAGCCAGCAAGCCAGCAAGCCAGGAAGGAAGGAAAGAAGCAAGGAAGGAAGGAAGGAAGGCAGGAAGGCAGGAAGGCAGGACGGCAGGCAGGCAGGAAGGAAGGAAGGAGCGCCATGGTTCACGACAATGTACTGTCTGGTGCCGAGATGCGTGAGCGGGCCTAGAGATGTGTACTTACTGACCTCAATGGTTGTTCTATGTTGTGCCCGAAAAGGCATCGAGTGTTGATTTACAGCTTGTGAGAATTGCTGAGTGTGAGACTGTGTGAAGATGCAAAATTGGAACCGCCAAACAAGCCCAACCAAAACGAGGGAAGTTGGGCGAAATGTAGCTAGTGCGTGTTTGTAGGTTGCGCATATTTGAGGCAAGCCACGAAAACAAGGCTACCAAATGCTACCAGCTGTTTTGAGACTGGTAGCTGGTAGTGGATTGGCTGCGTCCCGCCCACGCCGCAGCAACAGCTGCCGCTGCTGGGCGACAACGCCTCTTCCACAAAGGTACCTCCGCTGGTCCGTGCTCCTAAAGGACAAGCCATGGACCTGCGATCCAAGCCTAAACACGGGACAATGGCGTCCAATACCCTCCCAGGTGGATACAGAGCAGGGCATCTACCATCAAGTGGACGGACCTTCCAGATCCATGCAAACAGACCAAGCCAGCGGAACAGGTAGCATCTTCAGCAAAGAGTGCAATGACGCTCTGTTGGATCATCTTCGCCAACGTGTGATCTTCATTTCATGCGCCTCAAGCCCATCGTCGTTTCGCGCGCTGCATCTTCATCTTTGTTTCACGAATTCCGAAAATGAGCATGATCCTGACACTGAGTGAGTTTTGTTTCCATCGTCGTTTCATGAGTTTCATTTGCATGCACTTCATCTTCATCTCCGTCCCATGCCATGCATATTCATCTTTGTTTCATGGACTTCATCTTCATCTTCGTTGCATGTCGTTCTGAAGAAAACGCTGAAAACGGTGGGAAATTTGTGCCTGCGTCCAGATGTGAGTTTGAAAACAATCGTGCTGCCATTGTGGGCCATCTTTTTTCACAGTCATTGAACATTGGCACGCTGTCGTGGCGAGAATGCCGGACACTGCAACCTCTCAACATCGTGATTTTGCATTTTCCGCACAAAACGCGCATTTTCATTAATCATTATTCAAGGCCCAATGCAGATGTGCAAAAACACAGGTTCCCATGACCCCATTCATGACATTTTTCCATAGCATGTTTGCACCATGTGCGCTTGGTGACTTCTTGCGGAGGCAGGTTGTATACTTGTTTAGGGCCGCAGTGCACTTTTGAGTCAAGCTTTTCGCGGCTTCCAGCTGCTTTCACTTGTATTGCAGTGGCGCTGGCGGAGAATTTTTCGACCATTCCACTTCCACTTCTACAACTTTTAAGCCCTTCTGGGAGGTTGTCTGTCACGTTGCCATTGTACGGCACGGAGTCACTTGTGGAAACTTGTTGCTTTGTAGCACAGTTTCATTTCCATCCAAAGTGAGGCCAAGCTGCGGCAAATAGTCGACGAAAGGAGTGAAACTTTACGGCTTCAATCACAGGCAGGGCAAGCAGCGCGTCATGTTTTGCATCGTCGCAGTTCATTGAACACCACGTCATGGAAGGTTGAGCTGTGATTAGAAACTGCTCTGAGGATCTAGCCAGTGTGAAAGAATCCTTGGCTGAGTCAGAGAAAGCAGGCGGAGTGCTGAAGGTGCCTTGTCACATTGCCACATTGTCACATTGGGTTAAAAAAATGCGCAAAACTTAATAAGTAACAAAGTTTTCTTCACAAAGGCCAACAACGTACAAAAGTAAGGTCGTGTAAAGAACAGTGAGGCAGGAGGCTGACCTTAAGAAAAACAACCAAGGCAGAATTGAAGGTGCTCAAGCGCAACCTGGTGACTTCTCAGGCATTTCCAGCTCACTGCCTTCTTCTCGGTTTTGGAACTATTCCTTTGTCACATATCATGATCAGAACCAGATTTCAGCTATAGTACTTTATACATTTTGAGACCTTCGGTTGTCAACTACATACCAAATTGTTCATTATTTTTACCATACTCAGAGTTACTACTACCGATTCCTCACTGTTCAACAGTCACTTGGCCTCACTTGAGCTGTGGAGATATGCAGGAAGAACTGGCCAGATTGCAGGCAAGACATGAGGCAGGCGTTGCGATTGCGATTGAGTGTTGAAGCAACCACGCTTATGCTTTGGTGAAAAACTTGCGTAGGAAACCGACAACAGTTCAAAAGACTTTGAGACCAAAACCTCACTCTGGCTGCAAACTGCTGTGCAAGCTGTGAAAGGGGGCCACAAGCATGTCGATTCCCCCACATCAATCCGGCACAGGTTGCTTGTGAAACTGCAGGAACATGTGTGGGGATGCGTAGGGTGGTTTTACTGCAAATGATCGATAACGAAATGAACCTGTTTTGCTGAAACCCGTTAGTCTCCTGGATGACAACTCAAAAGAGTTAAGCTTTACGACCGAAAGATTCTTGTGCAAAGAGCTTCGACAATCATGATGGTGAACAAACGCCAGCTCCACCGACCGAACGTTCAAGAAACATTTCCAGTAGCGTCCTTGCTCCTAGTAGTAAGGCCAGGAGCCCCTAGTAGCTTTTTGTCAGAAACCGGCAATGCCCGCAAATGACAACTGGATGTCTACTTCGAGACATGGAGATTAATGTCACGAAAGCAAGCTCCGAAGGAGGTTTGCTGAAGTTCTCATAGACAAGTGACGAGGGGAGGGATCAAATTTGATTGGAACAATCTTTGGAAAGGAAATTATATGTTGTCCGAGCAAAAGTGTCCACTCAAGTATCCAGCTGCTACTTGCGAACCCTTCTTTTGGCACCGCCGAAAAGACTGCAGGGTGTTGCGTGCTGAGTTGTTCTCACTTTTGTTCTCGTCTCTCACGTGGTTGTGATGTGGTTGGTTTAGACATATGTTTAGACCAAAGTCTTAGCCGAAATCCAACTCAGCCGACAACTTTTTGCAGCTACTCATGTCTTGACCCAGCGGCATCCAGGAGCTTCTGAAAAAGAACAAGCAGGAACAGGGAGAGCTGCAGGTGAGGACTTTTCTTATTTGTTTTTCCCCGAGATGAGCCTGAAAGATATATAACTCAAGTTCACACCAATCACCAGAAACTTCTTGTTGGGCTCCCAACTCCCTATTAGGTTGGAGGCCATCGCTATTAGGTTCTTTTTGGAATTAGGTTGAAGGCCATTGCCATTGCTAGTACTCCTACATATTAGTACAACTCTCTCAAGCTTGTGAGCTCTTGAGGCCAGCAGTGCCATGGAAAAGCAGTTGCTGGAAGAGAAGCTCCAGGCCTTTCAGATATTTGGAGATGTCGTTTTGTTGACAATTGAAATAACCAAACTAACATGTTTAGAATATTTTAAAATTACATAGAACTCTAAAGGTCTCAAGTCCCAAGTTAGCTGTGAGAGGCCTGCCAAGAAAGGGAGGCGTTGCTTCGTATAGACCTGAAATCTTGCCAAGCCTCGGAGGTGCAGATCTGACAAAGACGCCACAAGAATCTTAATCCATTTGACAAGAGTAGCCTACTGAGTATCCTACTCTTATTTAGACTAGAGGCATGTATATAGTCTTGTGATCTCGTAAATTCCAGGACTTCCTAAGGGCCTTCCGCTGGGTTTCCTTCGTGCAATTCTGCCGGGAGTGCTTGAAAGGCTGAACTGCGGGTAGAAGCAACGAACCATCGAGAAGAGGCAGCATTTACAAAGCAAGAGGCTACAAGCAAAATACATGTTCTTTTTTGCATGTGCCTTGTAGAGAGCTTTTGCCAAAGTTGGGCAGGTCCAGAGGCAGCAGGCATTGATAGCGGAGCAATCTCGTGAGCTGGAGAGCCTGAAGAAGGCCGTCCTCATAGACGAAGGGCACAGAAAGAAACAGACCATGGTCTTCTGAGATCCATTATTCTTATGTTGTCAAGAGTTGAGCAGCTTGATGTCGCAAAGCGAGGCCTTATATGATGCAACTCAACGTCAAGAAGACCTGGCACGTCAGGGTGGTGAAGTTCAGAGACTGCAGGCAATTGAAATGTTTGGAAAGCTACCAACAAAAAGCATTGTTCATGCAGTGTGCAGCGTAGCAGGTTGAGCTGCATCAGCACAAAGAACAGATTGAGATCTTGGAGAAGACCATGGCACAGTGCCCTGGCAGCGTCGACGCTGCTCCATCTATAGATACCATCAAGTACTTTTATTCAACCTGAATGCATTTGAAAAGCTGTACATGTGTATCAGTGTATCTATTGTTGTTATTTGTTCTTTTCGTTTCTTTGTTTCCGTGGACTCTGGAGCATTCTGCAAGAAGAACCTTTAAACTTCATGCTACCGAAGCAGCTACTCAGTACTTGAAAAAACCTGCAGGGAAGCCAAGTCTTTCCTTTCTTCAAGAGCCAAACCCAATTTCTTCACCGGATTTTTTTAGTTCTTCGGCAGAAGGACGTGTGCGTTTTTTGCATCGGTATGACACTGGGATTGATTGCCCTTTGTTCCTCTACAGTTGTTGCTGTGTTGATGAATCGATTCGACTTCCAGATCTTACCTAACTCTTTGGTCCTGACAAGAGTGCTTCCAACCAGCAACTCTGTGTGCACTATTCAGCGTAGCGCGTGGTTCACAACTGCTACTGTAGTGGGGTTTCGTAGTGAAATCTACGGTTGGAGGTGCCACAGAAGCGCATTCTTTAGTGCCACGAAATACGGCTTTTATAAACACGACTCAAACCTTAAGCCTTTTACTTTCGAAAGCACGTTTTCACTTTTCAGTTTCATGCATGCCGATATAGAACTGCCCAAGTAGCCCAAAGGTCTTGAAGGCATAAATATAAAGGACATCCCCGGCAGCATCCCCCAAGTCTAAGGCCCTCCAGCAATGTCCAATCAAGTTTGGACAAAATTAGATGGCGTGGTCATTCAGATTGTATAGGGATTGTATAGGGTGTCTAACTCGACATATGGGTTTGATTGGTCTCAGACTCAGTCAGACCTGCTCAGGCAAGAAATTGATTCCCAGCGCTCCTTGGAAGAGGCATGGTTCGTCCTAAAGTAACATTGAGAGATTATTTGGAAAGTTGGAAGGCGATGTTCGTTTGAGGCAGCAGTTGCAGCAAAACGTGAGATAGAAGCAGAGCGTGCTTCGCACACCTATGCCATCGACACACTAGAAAGGCACGGAAGATATGCATATGTGCTGCACAAGTATTCATGTCATACTTGCTTGTTGCAGGACTCATGAACAACATCTGGCAGACACACAGCAAGCTCATGTCGCGCAGGGCTTTGTTTCCATGCTCGAAGTCTGGCAAATTATGAGTTTGACAGTTGGCAAATCACTGTGCTACTGCAGATTGTGTCTCATTCCGGGCGGCTCCAGTGCCCACTTGCATGTATAACTTGAGGCGGAACTTGGTGCACTTCGGGCAGAACTTGAAGCGGAGGCATTGCCATGGGGCCATCATGGATATCATGGGGCAGTTGAATTACCCGACCCTAAAGTTCATCAACCAGGCATTTTAGCTGATATCATTTGGCTGATAATGGACGTGGGCAAAATGTCAAACACCTTGCAAGCCATTTGCTGTTCGTGCAGCAATGGTTTATGTGTTGCTTGTTTTCGCAATGCATTTGGCAGAATCTGAAGAGCAACTCATGGGCTACTGAGTCCTGTACTGTACCGCCAGCGAAATCGAGCCAATAGGATGATAGGATGACTACTTCTTGCAGCAAGGGTGGTTACTTTCTTGAAGGTGCAACCGACCACAAGACAAACATGACCGTATCAAGTAGGTTTTGAAGCAAGTATTGCTTGCGATTCCTTGTATATAGTCATCATTCATCACTGCCTAGCAATGACAGAGCTCTACGGACTCAAGTCCTGCAAGCCGACCATCCCCTAGATCATGGCACTTCATGCACCAAGCAGTCACCACCTTTTTTGCAGTTGTTTGCGTGCAAACATACGCCCACCTCACACCCACACAAAACCGAGGCATGTGTGCATGCGAAGAGCATAAAATCCGGCAAATGAAGGAAGATTACATGTCAAGCACGTTGTACTTTCCAAATGGAGATAACCTACGCGTGCCCCTGTCTGAAAGTAGCCAATCGATTCATATTTGCCTTCCTACCAGTTGAGGCACAGAGACTGAGGAGCCAGCTGAGTCAACTTGAGTCTACTGACCAGAATGGTCGGCGGCTTCTTGAGGCTGGAGTGGGGCCAAGGTGATTCAGACTTAAGCAGAATGCCTTGAAATGCCAAGGTTAAGTTTTTCTTGAAATCTAGGAACCAAACCATTAGTGCGAGCGCTTCTTCAAGGAAAAGGTGGTGGAGGGGAGCTTCCTTGAAGAAGCGTGAGCTATCCTGCGTCCTAGGTAGTAGCATCCTGTATCTAGAAGCTTACTTAAGGTACTAGCTACCTCTAACTACTAGCTACCTCTAGCGGCCTACGGCCTACCCGGCCTTAAAAAAAAACGTTTTGTTTTGAACTCAAGCGACCCCTTTTGATCGCGTGAACCAAACAGTGCCAAGTTCGGCTGTCAACATGTACGCGTGAAGTCCTTGCAAGCGAAGGAACAAGCAAGCGAACTGCAAGATGTATTGAAGAAGCTGCAGGCCATTCTCAGTGACTTCGAGTCAACTCGTCACGCCCGTGGATCCTTTTTGACCAGTCAGGGTACATTTTTTGACCCATAAGAGATCAGTGTCAGCGGGGGGTGCGGAACCAGTGCAGGCTCAAAACGACAAGCATTGTGACAACAAACAAGCACAATTGCCCACAAGCATATTGCTTGGGAGGTGCAAACACTGCCTCACTTCTTCAGTGTGACTAGCATTGTGAACAGTTCGGGGGCCACCCTGAGAGAGCTCCACCAACAAAAACTTACCTCCCTTGACCTTGAAGAGGAGATAGGCCTTGCCGACCTAAATTATTTTGAGGTGACCGTCTCCTCTCCAAATAGTTTTTGAAATAATATCCATAAAGTATTATTTGGAAAGGCATGTAGGTGGTGGGTCAAAATAATATCTACCATGTAGAAAAATATAGTATGGCATGTTGCAAAATAATAACATATTATTTTGATATATTGTTTCTAAATAATTTGCAACACTGAATGACATAGATTAAACAATAACCCGTGGAAGAAGGTATGATGCAGGGTTTATTGGAAATTATTTGGCAGGTGGAGGGGTACGTGTGCCAGAGCAAAAATAATTTCGGTGCTGAAGTGAGCTGAGACGAGATGATGAATCGCGAAGATGGGTTGAATAACGATGAATAGCGGATCCTAAATTGACTCATGTGGATTGGGGTGCATCCACTGGGTTTTTCCCTAATCAGCATAGCTGATTGATGTGGGAGTCAGACGTTCACGGTACCACAGAGAAACCGAGAGAGAATGGCAGAAAAGAGGGCGCGATTATTATTTTGTAGGTGGTTGCGCTTGAACCACCTACGTTTGCTATTACTGAACGCATTCCTAGGAGCTGTCCCCATATATCTACCCACCTAGGTGGGTGGTCTATACCACCTCCCCCCTATCTTATCATGCTGTGTGGCTTATTATTTCTGACCTAAGTTACCTCCATATAATTCTGTGCTCAGGTGGGTGCACCCACCTAAGAATAATATATATGTTCCACTATCACTGAGCAGAAAGCTGATGTGTCAAGCTTTTTGGTTCAAGCGCCGCGCTGCCATGCTTGCGCGGCGCTTGTGGTTCTGATTGGGGTCTGGTGACCGTGCATGAGCGACCCCGAGACCGATAGCCTGGCCCTGGATTTTGGTGGGCTCTCCATTCGCATTTCCAAGACCTCGGATCGACGTAGAGAGTCTGCGCCAGCATCTCAGAGTTCCTTTCAGGTGATCTCCCCTTCCTCCTCATCAGCTCCCCGCTTGGGTGCCCTTCCTAGCCCTGAGAGGGGCACTGGTGACCAGGTTGTGGAAGCTTGGTCTGAAGAGTGGAGCCAGGCCTTGTTGGAGGCCACTACTCCTGAGGCCCTTGAGTCTCTGGATTTGAGCCCGGTGAACCATCTGCTCGGCCGACTTCGAGCTCGCACGGGAACTTCAGGGTGGACACCTGCAGCACGATTGGGCCGCGCTTTGAGGGCTGGGTTGGTCCCTCGATACAAACTGGATCACGAAGAGGGGGCTTTCCAGCCTAGTCCGGATACCCCTCACTCCAACAGGTGCTACGTTGTTTTGAGGAGTGCTCGCCGCCAGGCCTCGGGGACCGAGGATCACTCGACTTTCCTCGCTGCTGTGCGAGGGCCGTACACCTCAATTCATCCTGACGCAGTTTGCCACGCTTTCCCCTCCCGGGCGGAGGGCGAGGCTTTTTGTTTGGGCGCCGGCCGGATTTGGCCTGCGCCTCTACGACCGTTGGCATGAACAGAGGGGGCTTTCGAGCCCTCACGGGCACCATGCGCCCAGATGGTGCCTTTCCGGGAGTGGTCTTCCGCCTGGACTCAAAGGAGGGCGAGGTGGCTTCGCATGCTCGGGAGCTTCTGGTCAGTCTGCGGCTCGTATTGGTTCTCCTGGATATGGAAGAAGTGGATGGGGCCCTCTCGCAACACACAGTGGAAATAACGCAAGACGTGGCCGTTGCTGTCCTGCGTGGTCTCGCGATGGATATGGCTACGCCCGATTGCTTTCCTCTCGAACCCTGGACCTTCCTGCTGACCGACGTGACTTGGCATCCTGTTCATCCTTCTGCATGGGCGCCATCCTTGAGAGTTCCTTCAGTGCCAGAGCTTTTGAAGTTCTGGGCAAGCAACGTCGTCTGCCTGTCCTTGCGAGACAACTTTGTCGAGGTCGAGGGCCTCGGCATGCAGATTGCCTCAGACTATATTCAGGGCGCACTTGGCCCAAGAGGAGAGCTCTCGGTAGAAGGACACAAGCCTGTAGAGCATGTGGAGATCCCTGCCGGGGGGCAGCAGGTGGCCATTTTCCAAGGACTCCTTCAGTTTTTGTCGCAGGACGTCACACTGCAAGCAGCCTCCGCAGAACGAGGGCTCCTTCTGTAACGGCTCTGCTTCATGGGGTGCAGCTCTCTGGCCCCACACAGAAGATGGCAGCCACTGCCAGCTATCACCACGTCGCCGCCGGCGGCACAAGTTTCTCGAGACCAACACTATGTCTGCAAGCCATTGTGCTGGCCTTGAACTGGGTCTCCTTAGGCCATGCTCGTAGCCCGCCAAAACATGAGTGGGTTACCCTATGAGTTCTCAGCAGTTTGCAATGCTGGAACGGCTGGAGGACCTGGTGGACTACTTTTTGAGAGCGCCAGCAGTGACCATAGAGAGCTTGGGTCGCTCAGGTGAGAAGCTGGCGCAATTAGCTAAGCAAGCTTTTCTTTTGCATTCTGTCTCAAAGAGTCGTTTTGACTTTGATGACATTGATAGTTTTTTAGATCATATTCACACCTCGTTTGATCCGTACTCCCAGAAGCATCGTGTTGCCCCAACTCAACCTTCCGAAGCGGCCTCATCACCTGATGCGAGTAGGAAGGGCCACGTTCGGGTCCCCTCAGCAGGTTGTGTAGCGAAGCCTGTTTTTGCTGACCGCATCAAATGGAAGCTGGCCCCGAGTTTTGATCCGAGTCCATATCTCAGCGATCCAGTGGTTAGGCAGGCTTTTATAGATCCGGATGTGCTGCGTCGCCCATCGGGCGACTGGCCAAAACTGCCTCGGGCAAAGGTTCACGCCACTAAAGATGAGGTGCTCCGCCTCGCGGCAAAGTGGGACGCGCGCCATGCGTGTCAATTGGTTCCTTGCGCCAAGGTGAACCCACAAGAAGCTGTTGGCATTTTTGCAGTGCCCAAGGATTCGGAGTTTGATCGACTAATCCTGAACCCTACTGTTGTTAACAGCCGTTGCCACTCATACTCTGCGTTTACCAAAACCATTGCGCCTGGCTATTTGATTGCCCTCATCCGGCTGGAAGAGCAAGAGCGCCTCCTCATTTCATCTGATGGAGTGGCGTGAGCAGCAAGTGTACATTTGTCTGGCGACCTTGGCAATGGGGGACACCTTAGCAGTTGAGATTGCTCAGCAAAGCCATTTGCAAGTGCTTCGACAACTTGCAGGTGCTATGCGCCCCCCTGAATGCCTGCAGTATAGACAGCCTGTGCCCCGCGGTCCGTTCTATGAGCTTTTGACCATTGATGACCACATCGGTCTGCAAAAAGTTCGGCAGGACGGCCGATGGTTCCCGGGTTGCGACAGGGATACAGCCGTTTTTGAAGCATCAAACGCGGCTTACAAACATGTTGGGTTGACTGCTCATCCGGGAAAGATGAGAAGGCGAGAGTCACATGCTGTGGTGTTGGGGGCTGAGATCGACGGTGACCGCGGCCGTGTTTCAGCACCTAGAGAACGCGTGGCCCTCCTGAGCTTCATTACATGCATTGTCATTGCAAAAGGATCGATCGCAAGGGATCTTTTGCAGGGGCTGGTCGGATGCTGGACACACGTCATTTTGTTTCGCAGACCAGTTTTTGCTTTGTTAGATGCCGTGTATCACGAAGGGGAACATTTGCCGCGGGATGTCGTTTTTGCCATCTCTCCTCAGTGTTCTAACGAATTGCTGTTACTTTGCATTTTAGCTCCCCTCATACAAACAGATACGCGAACGAGCTTTGCCCCTGAGCTATTCATGATGGACGCAAGTCCTTATGGTGGGGGCATCTGCAGATCACAGTTTGCAGCTTCCGGCGTTGAGGAACTGTGGAGGCACACAGAGCAGAGAGGTTATTACACAAAGCTTCAACAAGGATCAAACAAAGTGTTGCATGAGTTGGGGTTTGAGCATGCTGAAATGTTTGGGAGTCCGTTGGACGCCGGCGCACAGCAGACACGGTTCAATCGATTAGGAGCTGAGCCATTAAAGCTGCGTGAGTTTGAGAACAGTGGCCGTTGGGTGGACCGAGTGCTGCGAGATGAAACAGTTGCTTTTGATTGCATTGAGTTGTTTTCTGGGCAGGGGAACTGGTCGCAACAGCACGCAGCATTGGGCTTCCGGGTGCACCCTGGTATAGAAAGGACTGCCACGGGTGTGGCTTACGGCGACTTGTCGGACAATGGGACTTTCAGGCGGCTGGCCAAGTTGGCCTATAATGGCTCAGTTCGGGATTGGCACGCTGGACCGCCATGCTGGTCTTTTGGGACTTTACGTAGGCCCCGCCTTCGTTCCAAAACTGATCCAGCAGGCTTTGATCCTTCTGACCCCAAAACAGCAGAGCAAACCTCGCTTGCAGTACGTACGGCATTTTTACTTACAGTTGCAGTCCTTGCTGGGTGCTTCATATCTTGCGAACAGCCTGGAGGATCAGTCATGTTTCGCTTGCATGCCTATCGGGTGTTGTTGGATTTGGGCTGTCGCATTACTCGGATGTGTTTCTGTAGCTATGGCAGCGCGTTCATGAAACCTTCTCAATGGCTTCACAACAAACCCTGGTATGATGTGTGAGGCGGAGGCTGCAACTGTAAATACAAAGGTAAACACTTCACTGTGCAGGGCACGTTTACAAAACAGTCGGTGGTTTTGTTTGACGCACGTTGCACACCTGACAGTCAAAGTGTATACGGTCGACGACCTTCAGTCGGTGAGGCGGTCAGCAGATATGGTGTGGGCATTCGGATGCCACAATTGACCTAGCTGAAAGAAATTAAAGCCTCTCAGGAGCTCTTCAACGGACAGGTCAACTGAACACGAACACCAACTGTCAAGGGCCTCAAAGTCCTCCTGCTGCCGAGCGGAGGTCGCCAGTGAAAACCCGCCAAGAAGATGTAACTTTCCGCGCGGCGCAAGAATACCCGTCAAAAGAGGTCCAGAGTGAAGCTCGTAGGGTCCTGGGACCATTAAAGGTCCAGGGTGAAGCTCGATGTCTCCAGCTAGTATCAACAAAAGTCTGATCCAACGCCCGACCAGACGCGACCAGCGAGCCAGTTCAATCTCACGATCAAACAATGCAACGTTGCCTCTGCTCAGCTCTGCGAGCCAGGGAGGAATAGGCCATGTGGGCCCCGGCGCATCTCGATCACGTGAAGGTCCATCAGCTCGATTCCATTCTGACTTGCAGTGCAAAGTACCGGGGTACAAGCAACCTCCAAGAATGTAGCCCAAAGACGTCTTGAGCACGCGGCTCAAAGCGGCAGAGGAACTCCTTCCCTTGGCTGAAGCTCCCATTGTCACTCGACTGTCTAGAAACCCCACCAACCGACATCGTGGATGCTGCTTAGCACAGTATTTTAGCCAAGTCTTGTAAACCCTGCACTCAAGGCAATTGATATGGCCGCCACGCTTGAAGCGGAAGCGAAACAACTCCCGAAAGGGCAAGCTTTCACAGACGTCCTCGATCCAGCTAGGATCCTCAAACCAGGGGCGTTCAAGAGAGGAGCGAGGTTCCGCACCGGTCCTCAAGTCATTCCTAGCCTGGGTCGAGGATGTAGTCTTCGCAACAGCTCAAACCTGAGCTTCGTTGCCCGCCAGTTGGGCTGGGAAAGAGTGATACTAAATGGTCGGTACAAGAGACTGAACAGTGGTAGTCGAGACTGCTAGTCTTGGGAGCTCGAGCAGCTCTTGCGGGCGTTTTGACGTGGAACTGGCATCGATTTGCCAGCATGCTTGTGCTTGGGTTTGGGAGTATGCTACATCTCAAGGAGTACTTGAATTTCACCTCACGCCTTGCTTCGCGCTCTGTGTTTCCGTTTAGGCACTATGCTACTGCTAGGAGCACTGTTCATGCGTGCGATGCCCTTTGAAGACTGCTCGTTTTGCCAGGTGGCCGCATAGACGGTTGGCTGACGTTTCGCTGTCGCTAATATGTGCAGTTGGTCTTTTCATTAGACCTCACATGTGCAGAGCAGAAAAATAGAGTTGGAAAGCATACATTGTCCTGAGATGATTACATTGTACAACATTGAGCAACATTGGTCGAGTTGGATTGTGTTGTGCTGGCATGTGATCGGACATGATTAGCTTCCGTGCGTTGCAACGTGCTTGTACCTGCAAAGCAGGATGGGCAACTGAACATCAGCGGAGAAAATAGCGTGAGTGATATATATATATATATTATTTTGAGGTGGGTGGGAGGGAGGGTGGGCAGCTGGCAAGGGTTATAAGAGGAGCAAGAATGACGCAACAGTAACACAAAACTATACTATAAAGTACTATACATACCATTGCAGGGCCCAAGATTTGTACCGTCAAATATGCTTTAACATTTACTCAAAACACTCTTGCTTTGCGATCGACAGGATACTGAAGCACGGCTTGAGAAAGCCACTGAGCTTGCAGATGAGGCGGTTCTCAGCTTCTTTCCTGTTAGAGTGGTGCAAGATGCCTTCCAGAGATCTTGCACAGGAGCGGAGATTGAAGGCAGAGCTTGAAAACAAGCTCGTTTAGAACTGAGTGATTTTTGGAACATGATGTACGGAAAACTTGGAAAACTCCAAGGCCGCATCTGCACTCGAACTACAGAGACTTCAAGGTGAACTTCAAGGTGAGCTGCAGTGATCCTTTTGACTCGTTGGACTCGTTGGAGAGTCAAAGAATGTGCTGTGACTCCTTTGTTGGTCTTTTCTGCCAGGTGAGGTAGAGATGCAAAAACAAGAGCACTCAGCTGCCATGGAGCGCGTGTGCCCTCCTCGGAGCTTACGACAGCATTGACAGCGCTGAAACAGGTTTCCAAGTTCTGCGCGATCTAAAAAGTACACCAAACAAAGCAAAGGGCACCTCTACTAGGAACAAGAAACTACTAGGGGCTCCTGGCCTTGCTACTAGGAGCAAGGACGCTACTAGGAGCAAGGGCATCGCTACTAGGAGCAAGAAGCTACTAGGCCAAGATTGCCAAACTGAGGCGTGAAGACTTCCAAAAGGAGATTGGCCTGTTGACCGAGAAACACAGCAGAGAAACCCAACGCCTGGAAGAGGACAGGAATATCGGTAGCCTTGTGACTTTCTGAGGCAGCAGACAAAACGTGTTTCAAACTTTGTTAGTTTAGTTTCCTCAATACAACTGCCTTGGTGCAAGAATTATTCTTTTCAGCTGACCTCAAGAAATCTCGAACACCAGTTTGCGTTTGTTTGCAAAACATGTTTGGTTTGGGCTTTCCACAAGTGACCAGGTTGACCTCAAGGAATTGAACATGACATGTTGTGTGGTCGGTGGTCTTGGGCTCTTCACTTTTTTCTCAAGGGTTCAATGCAGAGCGGATTCGCGAACATGGGCTGCTAGTTGTCAGTCTTGCCACTGATAGTACCCTCCTCTCTTCCAGCTGCCTTTAGTCCAACTTATGCGACTGATTGGTGAGGAGATGAAGCGGGCTTTGGAGAGCCGTGGAAGGGAAGGTCTTGCTGAAGTGCAGCGCCTGCAAGAGGAGATGAGGTGAGCGGTGCTTTTGCAGTTCTGACATGCTCGGCGCTAGCAACCCTTTATATAATTAACAGTTTTTTTGCCGACCCCTTGCTTAGTCGAGTAGGCGGCTAGGTAGCTACTAGCTAGAATGCAGGAGCGGTCGCACAAGTTCTTTGGTTCCTAGATTTGTAGGGACACTTAAGGGGATTAGAGCAGTCTCTCCAGGCAGTTCCGCGGCTGCAATACTGGATTGAGTGATAGTCAACCTATGTATACATTGAATCTGTTGGTTTCGAACTTTATATCACTTGATGATATACCCGCTAAGACCGTTTCGAGCTTGGCAATGCACATGCCCGAAGCCCTGCACTTGAATCCGGTGCAGGCAACAGAAGCGCGGATACGAGGAAGACATCAGGACATGTTGAGAGAGATGCAGGGAAAGATTTACAGTATCCTGTATCTGCGGTGTTGGAGTGACAACCACCACAATTCTCTATTCAGTTCTGATTTCAGCCTACAGCCATAAACTGCCCCAACACATTTATATTGGAACATTCTCGAATGCTGCTAAAATTATCTAAATCTATATTCTATTGTTGTGTACTGCGGGCACTACATTGTGATGGTGAGCCCCGCCCTTCTTGCAATGCGTGCAGCTTTGTTCGTATCTTGCATGCTTATGTATGCTGTTATTTGTGTTTGGATGCATGCCAACGAACGACACTTCAATCCATCGCACCATTCCGAGCGTGATTCTACTTCGTGCTTGTCTTTCAATTGCATTGGCTTCAGATTTCATATCATTTCTGCGCACCATTTTATGGCAGTGCGTTTCTTTGTGACTTGTGAAGCTGCATGAAAGGCAGAGCGCCAGTACCCATACCAAGATCAAATCTGACGTTGGCCTCATCCTGTTGGCAAGCGGCAGGCTGACAACTTCAACTCTCTATACTTGCAGACGAGAATATCTCATCATCGCATCATTTACCGTGCCAAGCCTGCGTTCCTTGAATTCGCTTAGATACAAAGAAGACCCCTGAGAAACATCACCTTCCACGCACCTTTACGCAGGGTCCCTGTCGGAAACCAGGGACCCAGGCGAGTTCGCCTTTTGGTTCTCTTACCCTGAAGAGGCCTTTGTGCAAAACACTTAAGTCACAGGCATCACCAGGACCTTGGCCCTAAACAGCTTGAACGCACCTATGCACCAGTATGAGTGTACTGGGCCTGTCAAAGGTTCTGCTGATTTGCAAGGATTCTGAAAACAAAGATCGAAGAATTGGAGAACGCTTTGCAATTCTCGCAAAAGGAAGCCGAGGACTGCTTTAAGCTGCTGCTAAATAGCTGCTAAGCTGGGCTGATGGTGGGATGCAAAGGCCCAGCTTCGGGACATGGAGGGCACCATGCGCCTTGAGGTCGAAAAGGCCGCGGCAAACACGATTTCAATTCAATGACGACTTAAACATCCAATTGGAGGTCTAAGAAATTGATTGCATGTTCAGTCTGTCTTAAGATGTCTTGAGATGTCAAAGTGTTTATGTGTCCAAGGTGCGGACTGAGGGTGTGGAGATGGTGCAAAGACTAAGCACGGAGCATGAGGCAGAGTGCGTGGGCACTTCATCGGTTGTGGGATAGGACGAGGCATGATAGGAATTCATTTCAACAATATTCAATCATAAAGTCAGAAATTCAGAAACAGCAAAAAACTCTGCACAGTCACAATCACTTGAGACATGCTTTTGGTACAGCACCCTCAGTCCTCAGCATCGGTCTATATCAACTTGAATCAACAGTGCTATTCCTGTGGGCTCACTCATTTCTGCTTCAGGTTGGTGGGCCCACACCCGAGGGTTTCAGAACCTGTGCTTGTTGTGTCCGCCGTCTAAATTAGCCCATACCATTCTCAACTAGTCTTCATCACCCACCGATAGTCGCATCCTTTTGTAGCTCAAACTACAATATGGAAACTTAAAATTGATTCCGCAGGTGCACAAATAAAGAAGTGTACCAAGTTTTCATGAGGGTTCGAGGTGCGAGAACACACTTAAATCAATAAGTGTACCAAAGAAGGGCGAACTCGAAGCCCTTTGTTGTTCGAGCGGCAAAAGGGTTGCCGCGAGTGCTGCAGGTTATGAGCCCAACGTGTTGGTAGGGGCGCTAAGTCCACCCAGTTGGCACCGTGTGGGTGCGCTGGTCGCTGGTCCCCATGGCAAAGCGGAGCGCCGCGGCCGCATCTTCGACCCCGGAGGAGGGTTCGATGGAGTCGGCGAAGGAGGAGGAGGTCCTGGCGCTGGAAGACGCTCGAGATGCCATGGTGCCGGTGACGGCGATGGTCTTGGCGGAGGGGCCGCCGGTGACCTATGGGCCCCAGAGAAGGGGCGAAGCTCATGGAAAAGGAAAGGGTGATGGGACGAAGGTGGTGCCGGTCAACCCGTTCTGGAGCGAGCGACTTCAGGCAGAAGCTCGACTGAGAGCCATGAGGCCAGCGGCATTGCCGGATGGAGATGCTGCGGACGGGCCCCAAACCTCAGGACGGGTGGAGCCTGCGGATGAGGTGGGGGGGTTTGAATGGACGTCAAGGAACTCCTCCGGGCAGTGATGGCACAGAATGCCGCTCTGAAAAAGGAGCTGGGAGAGTTGAGACGGGAGGTCAAGTCGTCGAGGGAGAAGGTGAAGGGAGAGGCCAGTGGAGAAGCCCCAAGACCTCCTACCTCGACTCCACCACCGTCACCTCCGAAGGATCCACCCCCGTGCACCCTGTGAAGGGAAGGATGGAGCCTTCGAATCAGGCATGGGCCGATGTGAAGATCCCGGACTTCCCTGAGGCCATCGAGGGTGACACTCACTATGGGGAGAGGTGCAGTTCCACGAGGCTTGGGAGTACCTGATGTGCCCGGATCCTGGGGAGCTGGAGGGTGGGGCCTACAAGGTGGACTCCATCGAGGGCAAGAGCGAGAGGTCCCCGGGAATCCGCTGGAACAGGCAGCCCAGACAGTTTTGAGGCAGTTGGGGACCAGTTCATCGGAGGGCCAATGGGCTGAAGCCATCAGGTCAGTGGAACTGCCACCTCTTCAGGACCTCCATGAAGGTGATTTGGGGTCAATCATCCTTGGGGATTGGATCCAATTGGTGACCCCAACTATGAAGGATTTGAGTGCGACCAGTTGGAAGTGGTGGGAGGAGGTGTTGAGCTTCGCCATGATGGCCTATCGGGAGTGGCTGCAGGCTGAACCGGTCCAAAGGCTGTACATTCGGCCGAGGGTCCCAGTCGAGTGCTCAGGGGTTTGGAGTCGGCTCGAGCAAAGGGGGCAATTGATGTTGCTCACCGCCGTACCGCAGAGCATCAAGGCAGAGATCCTATCGAGCCGGACTACCAGTTCAGTGGAGGTGCTGTATGCCCTGTTCAGACGCTACCAACCAGGAGGCTTGGCTGAGCGCTCACGACTCCTTCGACAGCTAGTTGAACCGAAGGCGCCGCAAACGATGAATGAAGTGGTGGAAGCGCTGAGGGGATGGCGCCGGAGTTTGAGGCGAGCACAGGAGCTGGAGATTGCCACTCCAGATGCCACGTTGCTGCTGGGCGCCTTGGATCGGATGTCGGAACTGGTGGGGAAAACTTCGAGCCAGGTAGCATTCCGAATGTCCTCAACGAGAGCTACGCTGGGTGTGGATGTGACTCCGAGCCTGGAGACGGTCTTGAGCTTTTCGGATATGCTCACGGCGGAAGCAGAGTCCCTGGCCATCAGTGAGCTGCAGCCCATGACGGAGGCCAGAACGGCACTTACGCCCACAAAGGTGAAAGCCATGGTGGCGCCGAATGATGAGAAGGGGGAGAAGGGCTCCGGCAAGGCCAAGGGTGAAGGCAAGTACGGTGAGAAGATCTGCCGTTTCTGGGGCTCCGAGGACGGGTGCAGGAAGGGGCAAGACTGCCGGTTCAAGCACGATTGGGGCAGCCTGGAAAAGAAAGGCAGGTGCTTTGGGTGTTCATCGACGAAGCACACCAAAAAGGAGTGCCCGACAGTCAAGCCGAAGGCCGACTCCGAGAAGCAGGTGAAGACCTTCAAAAAGGAAGCGGAAAAGGGGGTAGGCGCCAAGAAGATGGAGCGGGAGATGGCAGAGGAGAGCCCTCCAGCTGCGAGTGAGGAGGTGGTGGATGAGAAGAAAGTCGAGAAGCCCGCCGCGAGCTCGGGGGAGGTCCAAGCCCTGCTCTCGGAGGCAACGACACTGCTGAAGAGTTTGAGGCCAGCCAACGAAGGGAGAACGGCTGTCAAGTCCATCAAGTTGAGCAGCTTGGAGGTCAGATCCAATGATCGAGCTCTTCTCGACGGGGGAGCGACCCACTGCCTCCGAAGAGCAGAATCCGAAGAGGAATGGCATCGAGCTCAAGAGGTCAGAGTAGAGCTAGCGGAGGGCTCAGTGGTGCTCAGGCAGATCCCATGGACAAAGACCCTCTTGACCCAGAACAAGGTCCAGACGATCGTCCCACTTGGGGTGCTGATTTCACTGGGCTATGAAGCCTACTGGGAGAAGGACAGGTTCACACTCACGGACCCGAGTGGAGCTCTGTTGGACGTGATGGTGGAAGGGATGTGCCCCACAGTGGATGAAGGCTTGGGACGCGAGCTCATCAAGGAGATCGAACGAAGTATGGTCAGGGAGCGAGCCCGCTTGGCAGTTCTGAAGGGAGATGGTGGCCGAGGCGAGTTAGAGGTCGAGGAGGTTCACCACCTACGAGAACTGCGAGAGCTATTTCCTGAAGTCCCTCTTCAAATCCTCGTGAGGATCTTGCCGAAGGTTGGATGGACGGGGGAGTCTCTCCCATGGAACAGGCATGAGAGAAGGAGGGTGAGGAAGGCAAGAGAAGTGGTAGTCCACCTCTTCAGCGGGGACACCAAGAAGTTCTGGCAACGGGAGCTCGAGTCTGAAGGCAGAGCAGTACTCTGCGTCGACACGGTGATCGACCCAGGGATGAACATCCTGAGGGACGACGTCTTCGCCTACCTGTTGGAGATCGCCGATGGCGGCGCACTACGAGCCTTACTCGGAGGCCCACCTTGCAGGACGATGAGCCGGTTGCGGTATCGACAACCTGGACCTCCACCCCTTCGAGAGAGGGAAGGACCCGGGAGGTTTGGCCTGCCGAATTTGGATCCAGTTCTGAAGCAGCAGGTGGAGGACGATACTCTACTGTGGTTGAGACAAGTTTACCTCCATCGCCGGGCCTCGAAAGCCGCTTCGCCTGAAAAGGTGGTTACGGCGTTGGAGCAGCCTGATGATCCAGAGGCCTACCTGGGGGAATCCAAGAGAGAGATCGGACGATCCGGGCATCAGACCGCGGAGGAAGAGAAAGAGGAGGGGGACAGGCATCCTCGCTACCCAACGTACTGGTCGTGGCCGGAGTGGCAGAAGGTCAAGACGATCCCGCCGGAAACCGACGCGGCTGGGCACGAACATGCCAAGGCTCAGGGAGCTAGAAGGACTCCGAGGACAAGGGCATGGTGGAGAAGACCATCGAGGAGACTCCATCCAGGAGAGGATTGCGAGATCGAAGTCATGGGCAGCATGGGCTCCTGGACTGAAGGCAGCGCTGGTGGTGGCGGTCAGAGAGTCGCTGGAGAAGGGCGACCCTCAGCTGAGGAGGATGGACCTGGCAGAAACACCTTCTCAACGGGCATTTGCCCTACAGTAGAGAATGCAGGGCCTGTGTCGTTGCTGCCTCGAAGAGCAAGGCCCACAGACGTGTCCCACATCCGGACGCATATACTCTTTCGATAGATACTGCAGGGCCATTCGAAGCTGCGGAAGATCAACTGGGGAAGGGGCGCTATCTGCTAGTGGGCGTCTACCTGGCTCCGGTGACCAAGGATGGGCAGTCGCTCATCCCGATCAACGAGGAGGATGAACTTCCGGGAGCTCTTGAGGATGGACCGGAGCTGACGGTGGTCGAGACTGAAGAGGAAGCGGGTATGCGAGAAGAGTGGCCAGGGTTGGATGACGAGAAGGCCTGGCTGGAGAAGGTGGAAGCAGAGAGGGACTTCCAAGTAAAGCAGATCCTGGTCGTGAAGTGCTGGAGAACCGAGGAGGACCGGCAGTGGTTGAGGCGATCGGGAGGATAGCAGCCAAGCTTGACTTTTTGGGACTCCCGGTCAAGCGACTCCACTCGGATCGCGCGGGGGAGTATCAATCCCGGGCGTTCCACAAGTGGTGCCACGACAGGGGCATCATGAGAACCTTCAACGACGGCGACAACTTCAAGGGAAATGGCCGCGCAGAGAATGCGATTGCCCAGGTGAAACGTGGTGCGCGAACACTCCTCATTGCGGCCGGTTTGGATGAGAGCTTCTGGTGTCATGCGGCCAGGCATTGGGCAGAGGGTCGCTTGAGACGTCAGCTGGAGTCGATGGGGTGGAAAAAGCGGGACTTGGCCCCTTTCGAAAAGGAAGTACTACAGCGACAGGCAGAAGTACCTCTCCACGACTCGCACCCAGGTACGAGTTTTGTGCCCAGCCGTGACGATGTCAATGACGACTCCAGGGTATGTGGTTCAGGAGGTCGAATCCGGCAAGATGTTCCACACTGGAGACATCATCCGGGTCGGTGAGGCCCCTGCGGAGTTGGAGGTTCCGGAGAGGGAGGCTGGCTTCATCCATGAGGTTGGCGACAGGGAGGAAGTGGATCAGCCCCGGGAGGCCAGGGCGAGTGAGGAAGTGCATGAGGCTCCTTCGGGGATCGGCCGAGGAGATTCAGCCTGTAGACTGGGGGGAGCTGCATCACCGAGGGGCCAGACATCTGGCCCGAGAGTTGGCCCTCCTTGAAGAGAACGACGGGGAGGTTGTCAACGAGAGGTTCATTAAGATGTTAACGGCAGAGGTGGAAGAGATCGCGGAGGAGGCGATGATCCAGGGGCGACAGGACGATACGGCCCGGCTGACAGAGGCAGAGCAGGCCCGAGGGGATGTGCAGGAGTTCCTCCAGATGAGGATGGTTGGTCTAGCTGAAGTCCGACGGAATCTTGAGGAGTGGAGACCATCGATGGTGGAGGAGTATACTGCTTTGATCACGGAATCGGAAGCTGTGGTGCCCATCGACCGAGAACGGACCGACCAGCTGAAGGCAGAGGCGGAGGCTCTGGGAAAGGATTTTGACCTCGTCCCGGCGAAGCCAGTGGTATTGAGGTGAGGATGCTGATCAAGCTGGCGGCCGTCAATCAGTGGTCCCTGGCGACGTTAGACGTCAAGACCGCCTTCCTCAACGCTCCACCCCTCAAACGGACATCTGGCTGATCCAGGAGGAAGATGAGAAGGTTGGATGGAAGACGAAGGGGGCGTTGGCAACGTACGTGGACGACGTTCTCATGGTGGGTGAGGAGGACATCATCCTGGGGTTCATCGAGCAGGTGCAAACCCATTGGAAGATTGGAGAACCAGAATGGGTGGTGGAAGGACGAGAGCCCGAGATTCCTGGGAATGGAGGTAGAGAAGCGCGGGGTCGACTACGTCATCCACCAGCAGGCTTACATCACCAACCTGCTGAGCGAATACGAGGAGACTGGAAGAGGCGCTTTGGGCCAAGTCCGAACTCCCGAGGAGGAGGAACAGCCAACGGCGGACCAAGTCCTCCAGGCACAGAAGGAGACGGGTGAGCTCTTGTGGGTGGCGGGAAGATCACGGCCCGACCTGTCGTTGGGTGTTGGCATTATGTCTCAATGGGCGTCGAAGAGGCCAGCACAGGTGATCAAGATCGGGAAACAGATTCGGACCCACCTCAAGGAGACGCTGGAGGAAGTCTTGGTCATGTCCGCGGATGACGGTGGAATCCGGGAGAATGCCAACAGCGATGAGAAGGCCTCGACCCTGGGCATCAGATATTGATCCTAATCAATATTCTTGAAAAAAATCAACAATTTCTATTGATTTGGGCGCGTGCTTTTTCAATAGAAATTCTTCCTCAAAGCCAAGCAAAAATCAATAGGAAATTCAATAAACAGCAACATGGTCAGCTTGATCAAATTTGATCAAAAACCAGCCAAATTTGATCAAATTTGATCAAAAACCAGCCAAATTTGATCAAATTTGATCAAAATTGATCAAATTTGATCAAATTTGCTTTTTCGAAGCTGCCCAGAAATCAATACCGGAATCAATATCAAAATCAATATGATTTTCAATATTTTTGGCAAATCAAAAATATTGATATTTTTTCGGTTTATTGATTAGGATCAATATCCGATGCTCAGGGGATCAGGACGGTTGACATCTACACGGATGCCTCCTATGGTTCGTCGGAGCTGAAGAGCATTTCCGGGGTAGCAGTCTTTGTCGGAGGAACTCCGGTCGGATGGCAGACGACACGGCAACCGTTCATAACGCTCTCAACGGCCGAAGCCGAGTTGATGGCGATGTTGGAAGGACTCATCGCGGGGAGATCTACGGCAGCCTTGCTGGAAGCGGTCATGGGAGAGAAGGCGGAGGTGAGGCTTCACTCAGACTCGACAGCCGCTATCGCCATCGCGACGGGGACGACATCTTCATGGAGGACGAGACACCTACGGATCAGGGCAGCTGGACTCACCGAGGCGATGAGGGAGAAGGAGATCACCTTGGATCATGTGTCCGGGAAGGTCCTCGTTGCTGATGGCTTCACCAAGCAACTCACAGGACCAGCACTGGGAAGGTTCAAGGAGGCCCTGGGACTGAAGGGGGCAGGGAAGAGGCCGATTGAGGTCAAGAAGATTGAGGTCCACCAAGGAGTTGAACCAGGCTTCACCAGGGGCATTGGACTGCTGGTGGCGCAGCGAGTCTGTCGGGAAGAGTGGAAGCGGCGACTGAAGAGCAGAAGGAAACCACAGGAGAGTGGTGGATCATCGTGCTGATCACGGCAGCCATAGCCATTTTGGTGGACATCGCCTTCCGAGTGGGAACCTCTGGCATTCAACGGTGGTTCAAGCCGAAGGAGGAGGTCAAGGTCAAGCTGCTCAACCCTGAGGCGCGACTGCCTACGAGAGGGTCTGACCAGGCCGCAGGACTGGACCTATACTCCACCATCGAGACGCTGGTCCCTCCAGGTGAGAGTGTGCTGATCAAAACGGGACTGGCGGTTGAACTACCAGCCGGAACATGGCAGAATTGCACCGAGATCCTCGTTGGCCATTAGAGGTATAGAGACGGGAGCTGGAGTGGTTGACCGAGACTTCAGAGGGGAAGTGAAGGTGCTGCTCCGGAACTGGTCAGATGATGACCTACGAGTCTACAAAGGGGATCGTGTGGCCCAATTGGTCGTGGAGCGCATGAGCCATGTGGAGGATCTGAGCGAGACTCAGAGAGGAAACAGAGGATTTGGGTATTCCGCTCACGAAGAAGCATACCCCTGGGCTCTACCAGAGACAGGAGCTTGGGACAAGCACTCCGGTTGGAGGATGATGAGGGTGCATTCGAGTCCCAACAGCGCAACCATGGCGTCGTCTGGGCAGACATCGGCCACGGTCCGGGATGGACCACTTCCTGACCGACCTGAACCAGCATGCAGGACACCAGGGAGGAGCCGATCGCATCAGAGCACCCAGACGGAGGAGGTGCAAGGTGAGAGATTGGGTGTTGACCATCGAGAAGGCCCTGATGAGCTTCGAGTACAAGATTCGGAACTATGGCATCGAGGGATCTACGACCCCGAGAACGAGAGGAGGCGTCGGGCAGATTTGGGGCTGCCGATGACCGCGTGGGATCGTTACATGATCCGTCGAGGACCACGACGTGACCGCGGAGGAACATGGGTGATGATGGATAGTGAGGGAGTGCACTTCGTGGCGCGAGATCCAGGTGATGGACGAGGACCAAACGAGTGGGCCGAGGTGGCGGCACAGGGAAGTGAAGAAGGTCGGACGCAGACTCAAGAAGGGGATGGTCCACGTGATGGGAGTCATCAGCCGAGCCTGCCGAGGGTGGAGCCTCTGAGGTTGATCACCACGGTCGAGCCGGGCATTGTGCTGAGAAAATGGCGCCATGAGGAGGAAATGGCTGACTACTTGAGAACGCCGGGATTCCAGAGAGGCTTCATCAACGAAGCGGTGCGAAGGGTCATCTCGATTCCACCACGAAGGACCTCAGCCAAGGACTCATGGGACTACCTGATTGACTTCGAGGGGGGCAAGAAGGTGGGGATCAGAGTCCACTACCAGGACAGGAAGAAGCTGTATGACTTCGAGGGTGAGACGCTCCTCGAAGAGAGGTGGGGAAAGTGGAGGATGACAGTGGCATGGCACATCGCATCCAAGAGGAAGACGGTCCTCGTGGATGAGAGGAACGGCAAGCGAGGATGCCACTTGGAGCTGTGGTGGGGCTACACCGTCTTCAGGACGACATGAGGGGCTTGAGCCTCCCCAAAAAGGGGATTTTGAGGGTGAAGCACCTCTTTTCGCTGAGACAGCGAAGGGGGAGCGCAGGTGCACAAATAAAGAAGTGTACCAAGTTTTCATGAGGGTTCGAGGTGCGAGAACACGCACTTAAATCAAGAAGTGTACCAAAGAAGGGTGAACTCGAAGCCCTTTGTTGTTCGAGCGGCAAAAGGGTTGCCGCGAGTGCTGCAGATTCAACTTGTCTCCGGCGTGGGTTTCAGAACCTCTGCAACCGGCCCAAATCAGGACTGCCGAGTGCCGATAGGTCTAAATTCATCCAACATCCCAATCCTGCATTCCGAATCCCGACACAAGCTTGAATGGCTTCGACCAAGCTCCTGATGCCGCCACAAATAACTTGCAGCATCGACACTTTTAACGTGCGATCATTCTGATGAGATGCATAGCATTCTACTCACATTTTGCTTGACCTGTGCGGACAATTGATAGCCATGATTGAAGTGTGGAAGGCGTGCAACATTGAGCCCCGAAGAAACTACCCTGATTTTTTCTGCATATCAACACCTTCACAGTCGATCTCTTCAGCAGCATGTTATCGCACCGAGTTTCCTGTTTAGCAATTTAAAGCTATGTACGAACATTTGTACAGTTTTTGGATGTGTTTGGCTTGTACATGAGTTGTTTGGAGGCGAAGCTTGAAAGCATCTTCCAAAAGCAGTCTGCTGCGTTGGAACAACTTCAGCAGAAGCTTGGGTCATCTCATCAGGAGCATGACAGAGTCTAACTTTCGCTGAGGGGAACTTCGATGCTTTTGTAGAAGCATTCAGTTTGGTTGGCTTGCAACGAACATTCAACAACTATCAAGAGGAGCTATTGAAGATTCACGCAGGAGCGGATTGATGAAATGCGTGCAAAGCATTCACGCGACATTGATGGTCTGAAGGCTGGACAACCTGAGATATTTGAAGGGCCTTCCATGTTCATTGATCTCCTGCACCCGACTATCTTATTTTGAACACCTATTTTTTCTGCTGTCCTCCACGTAAGAAGATTGTTGGAGTTGTTCTTATGGTGGGGGTTAAGGACGGGTGTTTGGTCAAGGTGCTCGCACGGGTGCTCTTCGAGACTGCGCTCTCGTTGTGGTGCCATGCACATTTTGGTACTTGGTGATGACTTTTCGTAGCAGGCGCAAGGGAAACCTCGTGCTTTGGTGGTCACTTTTCGTGACAGGTGCAGGAGATCGGAGCTGTTTTACGTCGACGTGCAGACTTCGTGGCAGGGTATTTGGCGTGCTCACGTGTGCTCTGATTTCGAGTGAATCGTGACTTTTGGACATGTGGCGGCTCGTTTTCAAACATCGGAGGAAGTCTCGAGCGAAAGCTGCTCTTTGACATCTTGATGTTGTCTTTGGAAGTGCTCGTGCTGCGAATCGCCTTGGCAGGGCTACACGATGTGAATCTTGATGTGCAGACTTCGTGGCGCGCACAGTACTTGTGGACTTATGACCTTTTGAAGTGCAGAATTCGTGGCAGCATCCAAAATGATCCAAGTTGCTGGAGGGTTGCCGAGGCTCATTTCCTGCGGCTGAACTTACGAAGCGTCGATCTTTGACGAAGAGCAGGTCAGTTCACTCGCGCTGGGGAGTTGTGTTGGTGGGCGCCGGCCCGATGTGAGCGGATGAGAGGCCAACAGGAAGGGAGCACTCCGCGATGAAAGGGGCTCCTTGTTCATGAGTACTTTGGCCGAGTCCCTCGCCGCATGGATGCCAAATGGCTGTCACCTTGTTTGCGACCACGGTTGCTGGACCACGTTGGACCAGCCTGGAGCTGTTTCCCCTTGGCCACGCCGGGCAGCCGATGGCAATCTAGGGCCCAAGATAGAGGTTTATTCCTCGTTGTGAAGGAGCTCAAGGGATGTGCTCGGCTTTTTTTGCGGGTTGCCGATTCCAGCCGCAAGATGAGCCTAGTTGTTTGCTGCTGAATTTTATCCCCTCTAAGTGCCGCCGGCCTGCGAGGAAGAACTTGTGCAAGTTGGGGCAATATACTGGAAGGTCACAGCAGCAGTAGGTAGAAAGAAACGGCATCACTGCTTGGGGAGGTCGTGCCAGGCCTGGCGCCTGTTGAAGACATGGCGCGCGCAAAACAGAGCGCCCTTTACCCGGCCGTGTTGGCGATGGATGGACGGAGCCTATACATTATACCGTTTCGGGTTTGGGGTATGTTTGCGGGATGCTCAGGACAGGTTGCCCTGAAGGGATGTTTGAGCGCCCTCCGCACTGTTCGAATTTCGGCCATATTCTGGTCGGAGGGGGCGACGTTTTGAAGCAGAAAACATGGCAGCCAGGGTAGTAAGGCTGTTGGTAGCCGGGCGGTGGCAAGCCATGAGAACGGCCCGCGTGTACGCAAACGAAGGCTTGAGACTTTGGCAGCTGCTGAATTACATCTACCAACAAATGCCCTTTCAGCGCGAAACGCAGAAATGGGGCACTTGGAATGAAGGAGCGTGGAACAATTTGTGCCTCTAGGTCGGGGGACCTTGTCACGAGGAGTGAATCTAATCTGGGCTCCTATGACAGAATCTGGGTTACGTTTTTCCTTTCATTTAACAAGACTATCATCTCCTTCTTCCCCAGATTGCCTTGGGCGAATCTGGCTTTCTCGCCCCCGGGCTCGACAGACTGCTCATGCTGCTGACATGCGGGATGCGGCCGCTTCTCACAAGGCAGCCTTGCAGGAGGCGCCAAGCGATTGAACTGTTTTGAACCTGGCAGACAGCGGTTTTTGGGGCGCGCCGGTGTTCTGTGTTACCGACTGTTGTCGTACTAAGCCTTACGGTCAGCTTGAGTTTTCTGAGGAGTTTTTTGAGCGTTGCTAGGTGCGAACTGAAAAGGCTCGAGCAATACAAGAGTTGGAGAACGCTGCCAAAGCTGCAGCTGACAGGCCATTGACAAGCGTCCGACCATCTCAGCGCTCCAAGCAGCGCCAAACAATTTCCATTGTTTGTTTGTCTATTCCAGAGTAAGTTTTTGTCTGAGCACTGTACACATATATACATATATATATATGTATAGAGCTCTGACTGCGGAGGCATGCAAGCGAAGTGCATTCGCTGAATGAGTCGTTGCAATCAGAGCGCGGCCACTTGAAATCTGCGCGCGCGGAGGTTGGTTTTTTTGAGCTCAACAATGCACCATCTCTCTCTCTCTACATATATATACATGTATATGCGTGTATGTTTGTGGTATGTAACGTATGTATGTATGTATGTATGGACGTATGCATGTAAGCAGCGATGTATGTATGTATGTATGTATGTAGGTATGTTTCTATGTATATATGTTTCTATCCATGTATGGTATGGTAGAGTAGGGTAGGGTTTGATATTGTATTGTATTGTATGCGTCGTATGTGTTGTATGTGTTGTACGTGTTGTATGTGTTGTATGTATGTATGTATGTATGTAAGTCAGTCAGTCAGTCAGTAAGTAAGTATGGATGTATGTATGTATTTTTTTGCACGCCTTTTTGAGTCTGCATGGTCATCGTGCGAACATCTGCCGCAGATCACGGTGCTTGATGAAGACACACCTGGCTTTCAGCCTTGAAGTCATTTGTACAGTCCCGTCTGAGATCCGGGACCGAGCGTGACAACGAGTGCACTCGATGGACTGGCCCTTGCGCTCGATGGTGTGGGATTCGTGACCATGCCACAACCGTGGTTCGAGAGGTCCACAGTAGCAAGGCTCACCAACGAAACGAGAAAAGGCGTCCTCATTGCACCTGGCTAAGATGTAGCTCTTGCAGACCGTACAGCGCAAGTACGCTCGGTCCAACTGCAGGTGGTGAACTCCCTGTTGTGGCCCCTGCTGTGAAGCCACCAGGGCATGGATCATCTCCATGCGTGTCTGCTTTGGAGGATTGGGCTTCGCCTCCTGCAGACAAGGCTTGTCTTCAGCCTCCTTCAAATCAGTCAGCAGGCTTTTGCTGTGGTACCGAACCCGGCAGACCTTGCGTTGAATGCCACTTCGAAACGCTTCCCACTGGTGACCGGCCGTTGAAGCTTTGCCCAGAAGATCCTTGAGGATTTCTCTTTTCTGCTGGATGAGGGGAATTTTCTGCTGGATTTGTTCCTCCTTCCGGTGGATGAAATGAGCCTTGTCTTTGAGCAAGATGCTCATACGTTCCCCTGCACTGAGCAAAATAGAGTGAGCATCATCATCGACATGAGACTGTAGATCGAGAATCTCTGTGGGTTCAAACAGCTCCCCAGTTCGGTCTGCAAGCTTCTGAGTGTCAGTCTGCGTGATTCTCCGCAAGTCATTCTTCTCAAGTTCCTTCTTGGAGAACAAAAGAGGCCAAACGTGATCAAAATCCTCAAACTCCAGGCCAGTGAAGAGGTCCGGAAAAGTCTCGAAGGCCACATGTGGTTTCCAGTTCTTCCAAGCTCTGCCATCATACAGAGCTGCCGGAGTTTTCTCAATGACATGCAAAGCCAACTGTTTCA